TGAGCACAAGGAAACAGTTTATTAGCTGATCATTGTGTTTTGGCTTGTGGCCTTCATGTGTGACCCTAAGTTCTTTTGTAGTACTTCAAGCGTTGCAGCAGTCCTCACCTCCCTGTTGTTTGAGTTCAGACCAACAGCCCAATTAAGTGATATAACACCAAGTCTCTAAAAGGTTTAAAGCATAGTATTTAGTTTATAAAGAAGGGGGAAATCTCTTTCGTGGAAGTACTCAATAACTGAAATCCCCCCCCCCCCAAAAAAAAATCCCTATAAATTATGTCCAGAATTTGACTACAGGGGGTCCTTAGGCCAATGGGAGCTCAAGAACCTGATTTACAAAACGAATCAGAATCACTTGGTAACAAGTCTAGTATAACTGTATAATGGCCATGAGTAAAGGAGCAACTGTCACCTGGGACTGAAATAGTTTACAGGAGGATAAAATCATTGGTAAATGTTATTCCCATTCGGGAGCTAAACTGAACCGGGCTTTAAGGATTTTTATATACTATAAACAAGTAGCAGTATCTGTGTTCATTAAATTATGACATAGTACGAAAGGAGTCGTTCCTATAGATGCAGTTTATAAATTGGTTTACAAAGAGTGCTTGCAGCTTTCTCACAAGTTTGAAATAATTAGAAACTACACGCAGAGTCTTTCTTTGCCATAAGCCATATGAGAAAGTTCTTTGATATTTAATCATTGGTTAATGAAAATATATTATCTTTACACCTTCATTTAAGAATCTGTTCCCCTTTGAGATAAGCAGGCATGGTGTATAAATCATTTAGTTTTGTATATCCTTGGATTTAATGTGTTTCATGCTTTAGTAGGAGATGAAAATAGGGACAAATGATCAAAAAAGGCTTCTAAGCACCTTACAGTTTCTATGCTTTTTTTTGCACATGGGAAAAGATCTGAAGGCTAAATGCTGTGAGAAGCACCATTCTCCAAGAGTAGTTATTGAATTTTGTTGTTAATCTCCCCAACATCTCTGTATTATTCTCATTTCAAGGTGTTTGTTTGCTTCATGGCTGGCTCATCTAGGCTGACAAAATGAAAAGCAAGGATAGAGAGGAAGAATAGGGGAGAACAAAGAAAGGTTGTGCAGAAATAAGGCCAACAACATTCAGTTGGGATGGGCAAAGATAATTAGTTCATAAAATGAGTTAAGAAAATAAAGAAAAGGACAAGATAAATTATACCAAGTAATCATATTTCTTATTTGAAACTCTACATTCTAGCTAGAAATGTATCCATAGACATAAAATAAACAGACAAATAATATATTAATAAAAACAAGCAATTATTACAAAGTTTCATTAACTTTACTGCATCCATTAGCCACTCTATTACATTTTTTTTATTTTTAACAAACTATGCCTTTATATTTATATATTTCTACAGTATTTCTTTCTAACAAGGATTTTTTTTTTTCTCTTGTGCTGTATGGCCTAAATTTCCCTACTGTAGTGTTCTATTCTATTCTATAAATTCTGTAGATATGATTACCTGAAATATTTTAAATAAAAGTTTAAATAGTTAGTTAAAAGTCTAAAACTAATCAAATCTATGGTTACTCCCTTTTCAAAGCTAAAGAAAAATCCTTTTAAAAGATGCCAGTGTAAATACTGCAACTGCCTAAATGAGCTGTGATGATTAGCTGACTAAAGGTCTCTATTTTCCTAGCTAACAAGGAGGAGACATATTTTTTTGGAAATATATATCCAGCCTTAATGTATATATATATATATATATATATATATATATATATATATATATATATATATATATATATATATATATATATATATATATATATATATATATATATATATATATATATATATATATATATATATATATATATATATAAAAGAAATTCTATCTCTAGGTAATACAGTTTTAAAAATACAGTGAGCAAGCTATGGTAGGCATCCCCAGCTCTGATAAACAGCAGGATCTATTTCAGTGATTATCCAGTTACTGTCAACTTGTTATATACAGTATGTTACTTTACAAATGGCAGAACTGCAAAAGGACAAATATTCTGTCCATATTTACTTAAGAAATGCAATTAGTTTGTATCTATACTGTTCAAGTATATTTCTCCTCAAGATTCCATATAATAATGATCTTTTATTTATTATAAATAAGTAGCTGATAGGTACACGTTAAATAAAACCATTTCATAAAAAAATTGCTGTTGCTTTTTGACTTAAAGGACATAAATTTTATGCCCCAATTTGTATACATAACCTACCATAAAACTGGCAATTCTATTCAAGTTATAATAGCCCAACAATCTCATAATGGTGATACTATCAGTGCATATATAGCAAATATATTAATTTAGAGTAACCAATATGGTTCTGTTTCTTTTATTCTAATAATCCCAGTGTCCCTTTTGCTCTGATAGAGCTTTTGCACCTCGCTTACTAAGTATGGATCAGCTGTGGGCAAGGAGGGCAAAGAGAGTCTTTCAAAAGTCAGATTAAAGTCATTTTAAAAGACAGGTTTAGTGTAGGCGACCCCTAATCCTTCTCTCCCTTAACATTTTTGTGTGATTTCTTAAAAAAACTTTATGTCAGATAATCTTTTTCTTTTTAAAAGCTGCTTTTTGCCACTTTAGGTTTATTTCAGGTCATATCTCAATGACAAAGGCTAGTTTTTGTGACCCCCTGTCACTTTAAAATGTCTTGTTTGCCTTCAGGTTTTATTAGTGAAACCTTTTGAAAATTTTTGAATTATTGAAGTTATGGACTATTGAAGCAGGGCTTTTCAGATCTTGGCAGATGATGATGATGATTAACTTTACATTTAGTTATTCACTTGCTGTTAGATAAGTTACATTGTAGCCATAGCTGGCCAGAAGAAAACTGACAGAAGTAAGGCTGCCTTACAACCGGTACCACTGGATCCTCTTAGAACCAACAGCAAGCAAGATGCCTTAAATGTTTTACTGAAGGAAACAATGATAGGGCCTGAAACAGAGGATGAACCCCCACCTCCTAAGCAGCTGTTGTACCATTACTGGTAAAGCAAGAAAACAGTAAAGATCTTTAAACAAAGACAATAAAGTAAGCAACTGCGTTTTAAGGGATTATTTAAACGCAGTAAGTGAGCCAGCCTGTCTAATCTACGGTGGCAGATGGGGTCAGCAACTAAAAATGCTTGGTCACTTCTTAGCCTGTTTGACTTCTGGATGGTAAACAGTCACAGATTTCTTGACCAGAGAGAGTGGGATGATTTATAAAGATGTAAAAAAAAAAACACTTTCTCCAGATGGACTAGTAGCTAGCCCACACTGAGATAACAAAACATAACAAGAGTATAGTAATGAAGAAAATGACAGCAGACCCAACAGCTCAGACCAACCAAAGGCAGCATTTAATGCAACATGGCTTCCTGGCTTTAACATCTGAGTAGGGCCACAAATAGGCTGAATCCCAAACCGCCCCCTAACCACTACCCCTTAACTACAGAACGTCACTCCCAATGAAGTCAAACATTCAGCTGTGGAGAGTGCCTCGATTGAAGGTGTTGTGGTAAAAATGAGAAACAGATGGCCACTTCCCTCTAAGGGCAAAGGAAAGCAGTCGTTGCTATGGAAACACAATGAATAAACAAAGGTATATGGTCAAATAAAACTATTTGAGAGGACCTTCCTTTTCGCAATTCATGACATGTTTTTTCTAATACCTAATATGTGATTTTCTGTCAGTGTGACAAAGATACAGCAAACCAGAGGAAATCACATTTGGATTTTACAGGTTTCCCCCACCAATGTACATGTTACACCTGCTGCCAAATTCCAGCAAGCCTGCAATGATGCAGGTTTACTATTTAAGTGCTGAACTGAAATAGTAAGCTACTACCGGCTTTAGGATGGTCCTTAATATGGCGGACCTTCCACAGGAACACGCAAACGAAGGGATAGTGCTTAGGGGCCGGTTTGAGAAGCAGCCATAGATTGCCCGAAACTTCACAGTATGTTAACACATTATTCAGTGCTAAAGAAGCCCCAGTCAAGAATTTAAAGAATACACAGTACAGCACTGACTTTTTAGAGCAAACATGTTGTGTGGAACTGAGCTGTCCCCTCAGCTGTCATTCCAAAACTCATTTACAAAGAAAGAGCAACCTTTTGCAGCAGAACATTCACTTTACTAGGTTAGTAATTGTCATCGAAAATAAATAGAAATTTTAATGGGAGAAGTGTTTAATATATTTTTAGTTAAACTCAAGATGAGTTTGGAATGACATTATCATTTGCTAGTATTTTTCATTTAAAGCTTTGCACAGAACATTAGACATTAGCTATATCCTCAGCCAGCAATAAGCTTTTTTCTTTGCAAGGAAAGTTTCTAAAGGTTGTTCTTAGATGCCCTTTTAAGTCATTTATGGAACATGGTGGAAATCAATCACTGCTTATTGTTCAATGTTTTTTAAGCATCTATAGGATATCCTGAGCTGTTTGCAACCACAGCAACCATAAATAACAGAGGTAATGGTGGAAAAAGGGGGTGTGCTTTTGAAGATATATGACAGATAGTATCTTGTTTTACTCAAAATCATCAAATTGAGGAAATATGTTCTAATTGTACATGCACCCCAGCTCATTACGTCACTCTCTTGTACGTCTTAACATGCCAATCATCATTAATGGCAATTAGTGCCATTTCGAGCTGCATTCAAATTACTGAATGCATTTGCTTCGAGAGACTGATGAATCTGTATATGTTAAAGGGTCTACATCCTGCTAAATTTACTTTTTTGAGATTTTAACTATGCTATAAGGCTATTCACTAATCAAAATGATGCACACTGGTATTTTTACTTGATTCATGCATATTTGAGTAATCCTTAATCTCTCCCTTTCCTGAATATTTATATTTGCCTATACTGTAGTTGACTTTGAAATGTTTAAAAATGATGATATAGCTTTTAAAGTATTATTGGTATCCAAACTCTGCAATGTGTGTGTTTAGGGCCTAACCTCATTTGCGTAGACCCAGTGACTGTCCTTGGATGCAAGGTTGGTTTCCACTGCCTGCAAAAAGAAATAATCGAAGATTAGTAAGAGAAGCAGTGTAATGCGAGCAAATTGTAGCAAGCAAAACTCAACATTAGAACGATAGTATTAATCTAAATATTTAGATGAATTAGTTCATAGTCAAACAACATTCTTTAAGTTAAAGTATTAAAATTGAGGGTTCATGTACTGGTATTCTAATTGAAATCATTACAATAAGTTCAGTGTAAAGCTTATGTCCCGTGTTACTTTTAGCAGAGTATTGGTGTCTCTTTGCAAAAAATATTAACATGAACATCATATTGAATGAGTTTTTTTTTTTTTTTTTCTTGTATAGACTCTTGAATCTCTGAACTATCAAAGGTTGGATGAATATTGCTAAAAGCATGTTCAAGCGCTAACAACAATAAATTTGCATCAGCTGCGAAAATGAAATACACTTGTGAAATTCCACAATACATTGTATCAGAAAATAGTGGAGAGGGACATGGAAAAAAAAAAAAAAAAACGATAATAAAGAACATATCAAACCTCAACCAGCCATTTAAACTATTGGCTTTAATGAGATAAGCCATATTTACCTTTATTTTGAGTATGGAGCCTTAAGTATAGATTCACATTACTTATACACAAAGTCCAGTACTAAAGAACTGCACATATATCTATAATTGGTTAATGATAATTATTAATACCCTTTGCTTGTTGGAGAAAAAAAAACCATTCCTATTCTGTGCAGAATTTTCTTTTAACAGAAGTAATACGGTCAGAGAGTAATGTTCATTTTAACTAGGAGATATTTTTTTCAATGAATTTCTATCTGTGAATTTATCATTGCTTAATATAGACAACTTAGCGTTTAAAGTAACAAATACAAATCCTTTTTAAAAAACTGTATAAATGTTATACACATATTTTCTAAAGAGTCAAAATCTATTTAAGGCACATTGATGCTTTTTTAACCTTGGTAACACTTTCAATGGAAATACCTAAACTCAAAGACACGCACTCTGCAAGTATTAATCTTTCCTTTTATTATCCTGCCACAGTCCTATCAGAATGTTTCCTTTCAGAGGTCAGAAGCCATCTGCCAAACCAAAAGTCTTCTTTTCCAGCTGAATTTTACGTGATAAAATCAGATTTCTCTAATCCCCTTGCTAACATCTATGTAAAGCGTTTAGGAAAGAGAGCAGGCAGTGTGGGGGGCGGGGTGGGGGGGCTGAATGAATGCATACAATAACCTCAAATCCTTTAGACCAGGTGAAGTAATCCCATAAAGAACTTTTAAATCCCAATATATCAATGTTAAGATTGTGTAAAGGTTCCATCTGTCATGTTGAAAGGTCAGAATATGATTGCTGTAGTAATACTTACAATATACTACAAGCACAAGTTCTAACTTTTGGTTTCTGACATTAATCCTGCATGTTTTGAATTGTTTTAAACAATCATATTCTGCCATGTATTTTTATACTAAGGTCATGCCTTTCCATGTTTAAGATTGTGTGGTCAAGTGTGCAACTACTGTATATTTCTTTTACTAAAGGAATATCGATGTCTAGTCTTTACATCCAAACCTGTTTAATGTGCAAATTGACACATCTTTTTAATATAAAACTACTCATCATGCAATTGTGATACATTTCAGTATAATGTACCAAGAAAATATTTATCATCCAGGAAAATAAGCTGAAGGAAAATAATTCCGAAGGTTTTTATGAATATATTAAATAGGTGATCCCATACGGAGGTACTGTTGAAAACTTTCTGCCAGATGCTAACATGTGCAAAATAAATTATCTTCTTCTGAACTCCAATACCTGCTGCTGAATTTGGCTTTTAACATGTCTAGAAATATAAAATAACGCGGCACTCTTTATAAATGTATAGATAAATTTATGAAAAAAATTATGAATTGTGTGAAAAGTGTAAACTGATACAGTGACAAAATAATAAACTGGTTTACATCATCTTGATACCTAAATGTTTTTCACTTGGGGCTTTTTTATTTATAATTAAATGAAAAATGTTAAGACATCCTTAAACAATAATTTGAAAGTAGTGCTGCTTCAACAAAGCTCAAATGTAACATTATAAAACCATAAAACCTATACATGTGAATTAGTATGTCATTGGCAATCTTTTCAAGTAAACAGAAATTTAAATGGTCATCGAAACCTTAATACCAATTAAAGACATTGCAAGAATTTCCATTTTGTAATACAAGATATGGAGAAGGATCTCAATAGAGTTTTAGGATACTAAAGTATTTGATTGAAGACAACTGAGCTGAAATATGGCGTTCACCCACTTGTTAAATTGTAAGCCTGTGTGAATTCCGTGAAGATATAAGGCGAGCAGGACAGAACTCTTGTTATCCATTATAAATTAAAGCCGTTGAAACTTTTTTGATCTCAGAATTAAAAGCAATCGGGATCTTGAATTCAAGAGAAGGAAGAACAAAGACTTTGTGGAAGATCACAATAAAGACAGGTAGTTGTAGCAAACCACAGAGGGAACAGCTGTACATGATATAATTTTTTTTTAAGTAGAGAAAATTGACTTTAATATTCAATCTGTTCTCTTAGTAATAGACATTTGCTGATGTTTAAAGTTACCTTTACACCAATATCTGCTCTCGTTATCTTACATTTTTGCTTATGATTAGCACCAGCCTGTGTGGATTTAGGTGCAACACAGAGTCTTTGATGAAAATAATGTTGTGAAATATACATAACTTGTTATTAAAATCACTGCATTTGTCATTAATATAAAATTTGCCTTTGATGACAACTGTAGAGTTGAGATAAGACATACACAGAGTCAAAATGCTGGTGAGAACTGGAGCAGAGACTGTATTTTGTTGATGCTGCAAGAGTTTTTGTGTTTTTTAATCAAACTGTGCTTTGCAGCCGCATTCATTTACAATTGACAACAATTTCATCCAGAGGGTCTGATTATTTTGAGTCTCAAAGCCAATACTCTTGGACATTTCTCCTGAATTTGTCCTCCTCACCAGCATTATCACCACAAATCTTAATTGTATTTTTTATAGGTTTGAGCTCAAGACGTCACTGCTGTCATTGTTTTTATCTTGGATAGACATTTTGCCTTGCACTGATGCCTTACTGTAGGGTTCAATTACAGTTATAATTCTTTGGTCACTCTAGGATTCTTCAGGTGTGGTGTTGCATCTCTTTGTGCTGTAGAGCACATATAAGAACGTCTACATCTGTGGTGTGGAATGAGCAAAAAGCACCCCTTTAATGTTATTTCCTTTGTGCTCAGTTGCAATGTGTTAAACTTGTTTAACAGTTTTTAATTATCTTTAGACATTTCTTTTTTACTGAATACCAATTAAAACATATAGTACAATATCTCTGGTATTTTGGCAATATTGTTTGATGTCTTAATCCTAACAATATTGCCATGTTTTTGTTTGATTTTTTATCTATAATTGAAGTAAAACAAATGCCTCAGTGGAAAAATAAACCTGTCTCCTTGTATTTATGAAGAACACATAATTGTTCCATTAAGGGCTTAGTCTCTGTTGCAGTCAATTCATTGTGACTTACATAAAAGTAACTAGACAATCGACAATAATTATGACTAAATGTGTGAAATCTGTTTTTAACTTCAAAGGCCGTTCTTTCTTTCTTTCTCTCTCTCTCTCTCTCTCCCTCTCTCAGGCAAACCTTATTTGTACTTTTACAGCAAATTAAAGCACTGAGTGTAAGAGAAGAAGTTTTAGACCCTCTGGTTAAAAAAAAGAGTAAGAGCAAAGGTTAGGCAGCGATAACTGGCAGGCGGAAAATATATACTGTATTTTATGAAAAGGGAAGGTTTGTCTTCAAGCAAATTCATTGTGTATCTAATGTCAAATAAAGAGGAGATATTTCTCACAATTGCAGTGATGAGAACGTATAAGTGAACTCCTTCCATCTGTGAATAATCTGTTCATTCTCCCACATTATGATAACATCTCTCTGTCTCAAATCCAATCTGACATTGGTGACTATTGTCTGCCTAGATGATGAAACTGACATTTCAGAAGAACAACAGTTCCTCGAGGAAAATTAATTCTTCCAGGCAAAATCTGTCAGTTGGCATAATGGTAAAGTCAAGTATAGTGGTTTGAGTTAGTTAATGCAAACAATACCAGCTGGAACTGACACTTTACACTCAAAAGAAAACAATGCTTGAAATGTTCTGCATCATTTCACAGGCCAGCTAAACACTGACAATTTCAGACACTCTGAAAATGAACCATTGTAAAGGAAACAGTGTTTGCATTCTGATGTTCAAATACATATGCTCTGATGCAACAAACATGTAATTGACCTGTCATTTCGGAAGAACTCATTCTTTGCTGCATATTGTTTTCTTAAGTACAATCCTCAAGAGAGAAAAAGCCAAACATGTTTAGAGCAGAAGGGTTGTGAAAATGCAATTAGATATGTGAAGTCTTAAATCGAAATGCAATGACATTACAATTTACAAGACCCTAAGGTTGGCTGTGTGGGAATTTAACTTCTCTGCTAGTCTGCTTAATCTATTCTTTTCTAATTTCAAGTCTGTCAAACTGAGAAAGGATTTTCCTCTTTGACTAGAATGCATTAAATTGAAGTCTAAAATCAATGTTATTAGATAGATCCTATTGGTACCTATAGGTAGAGTACTTAAACTGTGTTATTCTTCAAAATCCGGAGATCAAGTTGTTTTTTTCCCTCATGGAAGCAAGGAAATCATCTGTAGACATATTTGAGAAACTTGCTATACAGCTGATTCATGCAAAGCTTAGCAACAGTTGTTTAATTGATAACAAGCAAAGATATTTTAGAAATAAGTTTGCTAAAATTGACTATAGCATATTTATATCAGTCTATAAGAATTAGAATATAAAACAATATACCAAATATAAGAGAGCAGCCACTGATATTTTATGGTCTTTACCAACTTGTATAAGGAATAATAGTGACAAGGATCCACCATGAATATACCCTAGGGAATGTAAATAATCA